TACCGTATAATTAGATCATACTTTCTTTCAAAATCGAGATTTTCGAATAATTTAAATTGGAAAATGTTAATCTTAAAAAGCGCTACAAAATGATATAAAATTCAACTATCTACAAACTCCGAATTTTTTAAAATTTCGATCTTTTTGAATACAAGGCAAAGGCAACTGAGAAATAATTCTGTTTGGGTTTGAAAATAGACGAAAATTCCTACAATTCTGTCTAAATATCACATTTCTAGCGCTTCTAGGAACCGAGATAGGACCGCTCCAAGTTTAGGAGGCTAGAGACGCAGACGACGAGACACGCTGCATCTCTGACCTCGGAAACTTCAAATGACCGTATCTCGAGTTCTAGATGAGCTAGAAAGTTGGTTTTTGGACAGAATTGCACGGGTTGAAATTGATTTTCAGATTATTTATGAAATTTCTTTCTGCATTTACCTCCTTTGTGACTCTCTTCATTTTCAGATTTTCTGATGATCTGACAACTCTTCAAAAACTCGGTCATATCCAAACAATCATAGAATTTATCGAATAGTGCTTCTGTTTTCCATTTGAATTTGTGAAGAAGAATTCGGCAAATTCCATTTCGGACTTGAAGAACTGCTTGCACTTCAGCAATGGTTTTCTTCATTTCAATTTCCAATTCGCCATGGGTCATGAACTGAAAATTCGGGGTTACTGTAGTTTGAGCTAGTTTATCTTGATTCCTGTGAAAGATATCAAAAATGGTCAACTGATAAAATATTTCAGATAATGTGATACACATTTTATCAGTTGATCACTTTTTGATATCTCTTACAGAAACCGATATAATTGAGTTCGAAGCGCAAGCAAAGGGTGAGCTTAAACTGCATAAAATACAGTATCAACTTTGAAGCGAGTTATTTCGGTTCTTATCAAAGATATCAAAAAGTAGTAAACTAATAAAAAGTAGCTGATAACACGATAAACATTTTATCAGTTCACCACTTCTTGGTATCTTTTACAGGAAATGAGATATATGAGCTTGAACTCAAACCTTATGATATTCCACCTTCTTTTCCATCATTTCATCTTCATCACTCAGATCCTCATCATTCTCCTCAACGTATTCTTCATCATCCGAAAAATCGGAATTCATTAGTTTCCTGAAATTTTGAAAGAACAACTATTTTGCAATTAAATCGTTAATTGGGCAATTAAGGAGGCAATAAAATGACAATTTTCGGTAGAATATTGATTGAAAATCCGAAACGGTCCAAAAAGGCTGAAAATGGTTACAAATGGCAGAAAACGGACTAAAAGCGGACTAGAAGTGGCCCAAAAATTGCTGAATATCAAATCAATTTTTGGATGCCCGTCATATTGTTTAAAATGTGAAAGAATGGCTGAAAACGGACAATTCTGTCAAAAAATCAATTTCCTAGCTCGTCTAGAACTCGAGATACGGTCATTTGAAGTTTGTGAGG